ATTTGTAGAAATACTGAATAATCAAAGAAAGCTAGATAGAAGTCTTGGCTGCTGAGGGTATGTTTTGGAGGCATGAAGTACAAATTAAGAATACTGTATTTACTATTAGAAGTACATCTGTAATTCACATATTGATTTCTAGCTCGCACAATTTATTCTCAGGTTTCCCTGGTTTCTGGCATTCTGATGAGCTATTGACAATCACATGGCAAAATCAATCCCCCAAATGCAGATGAAATTGGAACGTTTTTACACAAGAATGCGCAAATTTTTAAGGTAATGTCATAACTCAAATCTTTATTGCCTGTGGTGTTTGGCATGCCACATATGCGTGAGATATTAACACAAGCAATCTCTCGGCTGAGATAGCTCCGTTGTTAGCAATGCACGTTTCAATTAGAGAATTGAAGATTTCATCACAAGATGAACAGATTGGTCAACCCGAGGTACTTATATGTTCAATATCAAAGCAATCGGACTTGCAATTTTCAACACTTTTTACCAAAAATGACAAAAATATTCATCAAAATTAGAGAAATGAGATATAATCACAAAATTAACAAATTTAAGAGGTACATGCACACCAAGTACCAAAGCAATCAGACTTATAGTTTTTAAGAAGAAACTGAAAAAGTTGACTGGGACAACAAGAGACAATCCCTCATACACTGTAGGATAAGCTCCGCTCAACAAAGTCAACAGCAAAAATAAAAAACGTTGATTTTGATTGCTGCACAGATCAACGCAAACCAAAAAAAGACAAAAAGATAAACATTAAAAATTATTAAATATAAATTCATACATACCTAACATTAATATCCATCATTTTATCAAACTGTTCCAATGTTGTTGTTTCTATTGTACCTAACTCAATAATTCCAGCATTATTCACCTGTAAACAAACATGTACAGTCAGCCACATGCCCTTAAGCCTTATTTTTACAACATTTTCTCATTGAATAGTTTCTCAAAAACATTCTATTTAATTTCACACATATCTAGTATAGTATGTTTATTCCATACTATACATGTAGACCTCTGGCCCAAATGTACAATAGACTCATTAGGTATACAATAGTTTAAGGAATACATTATATAGACGACAAAATAATTAATATACTCTGAGAAGTTTGTCTTGTTTTTTAAATGCGAGGTAAACAAATTTAGCTGTATTACGTATAGTGGAAATTTTGGTACAAATCATAAGCTTGATAAATTCATGCGTTTTGTATTCAAATACACTCGATTTTTGAGACAAAATCACAAGGTTTTTCGGTGCTAAATTTGCAAAGACAAACAAGTCGCATGACCATACCGATGTACATGCATTCTGTGAATATTTTGCCTATCACTTTGTCGTCCCTTTCATCAAATATTCTATTTTTTTTAACAAATGCTTATTAGTGTTTTTTCTTTATAAAAACTCATCATCTTCCTTATGTCAAAACTTAACATTAGGTAAACAATAAGATTATTGACAACATGATGAGTCTCAGTGCTATCATTTTCCTCAGCAAAATTTCAGAGCAACATTTTGCCTATTGTTAAATATTACTCTATTATTTGCTTAATAAATTTGGTAAAAAATAGACATTTTATATTTGTTACAGCTTTTGATCAAAATTAAAAAATACAAGCCATGCATGGCACAGTCCCCA